CAGTTGCCGCTACGGCAAGAACCTTTGCCACCACTAGCACAAGAGCATCAAGTGAATGTGTTGGAAGTCACAAAATATGTTGAGGTGCTAGACCGAACACTGATGATTGAAGCTAACATGAACCGATCTTCTGAATAGAAAAGCAAGAGACAAGGCTTTTTCTCAAAGAAGAGGTCATTTAAAAAGCAAAATATGGGATCATCGCGCACTTCAAACTCTATAAGGAATACAGCACCGACATGTAATGAATGTGGTAAAAAACACAGAGGAGTTTGTTATTGAATTTCTGGGGCTTGTTATAGGTGTGGTAAAATGGACCATTTGGTAGGGACTGTCCTCGGACTGAACAAAATGTGAATAGATCCTCTGCCTCAGTTGGATTCGTACCAATAGTAAGAATTGCTAATCAAGATAGAGTAATTGCACTCGTCCCTGAAAGCACTCAGAATACTGTGACCATCATCCTAGGTATTTATATTGTTTATATGTCCGAAGTCACGCTCAAGCATAAAAATGGGGCAACCAATATTTTTGCAGACCCAATAGGTTCGCTCGAGCAGGGAGCCCTGTTTCAGAAAGTTTGTAAAGATGTTTTGTGTTTCATTTTCCGTTCTCTTCCATTTCTGAGCACTCTTAGGCATGCATTGAACTTTGTAAATGGATTAAGAAGATAATAAAGAGGCCTAAGAGGAATGCATAAGTTAAGAACAGATTGAATCGTTTGTGACCCATATGTGTTATACAATGTGTAGGGTCGAGCTCAAGGGCAAATCCACCGGCAGAACATTGTGAGTAATATCTTAGTAAAGATATTTTCAAGTATGTTACTTTCCGAATGCTACTTCTATTTAAGCTTCATGGATTTGTTGATTTGAAATATGAATGAGTATTCTATGTGCCTAATTTTGTATAAGGCCGTTTGATATGCTTAATATATTTGAATTGGGCCAAAGGTCGTTTTTCGTTTGCCGTTTGCCATTGATATGTTTGATATATCTGAATTGGGCGTAAGGCTGTTTGACATGAACGATTGGGCTAAAGGCCGTTAGACATGAATAATTGGGCCAAAGGCCGTTGTACATGAACGATTGGGCTAAAGGCCGTTAGACTTGAATAATTGGGCCAAAGGCCGTTGTACATGAACGATTGAGCCAAAGGCCGTTGGACATGAATGACTGGGCCAAAGGTCGTCGGGCATGATGATTGAGCCAAAGGCCGTTGGACATGAACGATTGGGCCAAAGGCTGTCGGATATGAACGATTGGGCCAAAGGCCGTTAGACATGAATGCAAAGATGGGCCAAAGGCCGTTTGAATATGTCATTCGATATGTTTGAATACCGTGTTGGGCCAAAGGCCGTTTGAATGAAAAGGATCATGATCATGAATATGAAATACGCATGGATATGAATATAAAGAGAATGGGCTCGAGGCCATTCGATACGCCTGATATATTTGAATTAGGCTCAAGGCCGTTTGGCATGTTTGAATCGGACCAAAGGTCGTTTTGAATAAAGAGTTGGCTGGAACAAAGGTCGTTTCGTGTAGATGAACCCGAGGTCATATTGTTTTATATAAGAATTGGACCTGAGGTCGTTTTACATATGGATATGATGTGTTGGACCCAAGGTCGCTTTGCTTTGTTGAGATTCGTAAATCTGGTGTGAATGACAATAATGGTTCAAATGTGTACATTATAAGTATGATTCATTTATGAACGAACCCCATTCATTAACCTATTTATTTTGATATTATTCACTGGGCGTTAGCTCACTCTTATCTATATGTATGTAGGTGAGCAAAGGGACGTTCAACCCCAGCCTTAGTGGAATTTAAGAAAGGAACCCGAGTTTTGTGAAGTCAGCCCAGGTGCCTCACGCAAGAGGCTTTGTTTATGATCTTTTGTATTTCTTTTGCTACTTCTATTGGTCATGATAGACCATTTATGTGTATAAGCTTTTGGCATGGCTGACTATATATTTGAATAATCCTAAGTATACAAGATGTTAACTTCTGATATGTGGTGTGAGTTATTATTAAGTATATGTGAAATGTTTTGATATGCCATGTAAGCATAGCTCATTGGACAAAATTTTTAAACTTGCTTCCATTTGGCCCCTTAACTCTGATGGAATATCTTTTTTTTGGTTTGAGGCCGTAGATAATCACTTGATTACTAGCCGGTTATGACCTTAATCTATAGGGGCGGGTTCAGGTCATGACAAAAGCACTATTGGATCACAAAAAATGGACTTCAAATGGCTTAGATCTAGCAAAAGTTAATTGAACGGCTCAAATCGACGGAATCTGGGACTTCTGAGAAGCATCGGATAATTTTTCGGATCAGATGAAGTCAGCGTAATGTCAGTAGCTTGGCGGCTCGGCTCAGTCTGCAGCTTGGCGGCGCGGTTCGGTCTACGGCTGAGCTTAACGGCTCGGCATGCGGCTCAGCTTGGCTTGGGGCTCGGCTTGACTCGGTCTTTGGCTTGGCAGCGCGGCTCGACTTTAATTGCTTATCAAAACAAAAAACTAATTTTGAAGTGCTGCTGTCGAGTTTCGAACATTGGCGCTGCCGAGTTCCGAACGCTGGCCCTTGGAATTTAGAAGTGAGAATCAACCACTTAGCCAAACAAATTCCTCTGTTCTTAAGTCTCAAGTTATATTATTTAACTTAACTCTTCTTCACTCGGTCTTCGTCATCTTCTTCCTTTGGCAGCGCGTGAGAGAGCGGAAGCGTGCGAGAACGGCATCAGTGGCGCGTACGGCGCATGCAGAGTCGTTTGAGATCCATTTTCGACGCGATTTTCACGGTTGTGCTCGTCTCGTCGGGAGATTCAAGTTGATGTGATCAAAAGTGGATTTCGACCACTTTGATTTCTGGAAAAATTTTGCAATAATGCTTTGTTCTTAAAAATTTTGCAGAATGTCAGCAAATTCAAGCTACCTTCGGCTCTGATACCACTATTGGTGAAAGAGAGAGTTCAAACTACTTATGGTAACTAGAAATAAAATTCAGAGAAATAAATTTAGAGACAAACAAATAGACTTTTCTTGAGAAAATTATAGAATGAGGAGAAACACACTCTATGTCTGTCTAACTCTTACACTCTTTTCTTTCTCTCTCCCACACACTGAACTCTCATAATACAATAGCTATATATAGATAAAACTAATAATGTAAAGGCATAACAATACAATCTTATTTTGATTTTAAGCCTACAAATCTTGACTTTCCATGCTTTAACAAATCTTTGATCACAGATTTTTTCGGCGGCTAGGGTGGCTTTCGGTGGCTAAGGTGGTGGCTATCGAACTTATGTTCCAACAATTTTTTGAAAAACAAATATAATAAAATAATATAGTTATGATTATCAAATTAATCTATTTTTTTAATGATCTACACATAAAATCTAAAAAAATAAATTGTAATCCCACCAAACCCAATAATACCCTACTAAATATTTATCATTCAATAATAAATGTATTTGTTTGAAATGTAATGATCCATAGTTTCTCTGAATTTTTAATTTGTATTTTTTTTTTTATTTTTAGTGATTTTTTAAAATATTTTAATCAACTTTATTAATTTTTTAGATTTACTTAATCTTGATACACTTAAAAAATAATATTTATTTTTTTTTTAAAAAAAAAATCATCAAATATAAAAATTACAAACAAAATATGAAAAATCAATATATTTTCATATTTTATTGTATTCAATAAATTTTGTAAAGACTTTCGTACAAATTTTATATTTTTTAAATATATCTAGATTATGTGTATCTAAAAAATAAAAAAATTACGTAAACTATTAAAAAATTATTAAAATAAAAAAACACAAAAAATGAAAATTTTAATTTTCAGTAAAGTGAGTTAAACCAAATAGAAAGAAGAAACAAAAACCAAAGCCAAAAAAGAAATGTTAAAAATCAATAAAAATTTGTTTTGTTAATAGATGGCATCGATGTTCTAATCAACCCCAGTCAATCTCCTAACTGCCAGTCAGTCAGTGCATTCCATTTTCTATATAGGAGAATTCGAACGGGAAACATTAAAAGTTCTAACCATGGACTCCACAAGTAACCCATCCATGAGCAAAGATCAAAAGCTACACATAGTAATGCTCCCATGGTTAGCTTTGGTCACATGATTCTTTCTTAGAACTCTCCAAGCTCATAGCCCGAAAGGGTCACACAGTCTCCTTTATATCCACTCCTAAAAACATTGACAGACTCCCAAAATTGCCTCCAAATCTAGCTCCTCTCTGTTAAAATTAATGCCATATTTACATTAGATACATTGGATACATTGCATGCATTGGATACATTGAGTTCATACATTCTTTGTATTCATGTATTTTTATATTCATGTATTTTATATTTATTAAGTACATTGTCTAGATTATATTCATGTACCTAATTAATTACAAGGTTGTTTAGGTTCATGGATCTTATTCATTGAACTTATGTATAACCTTCTCTATATAAAAGGATGTAAGCCTATGGGAAATATATATGAATCAATAAGTGATAAAAATTCAATACAAAATATAGTTCATTCTAAAGAGAGTTTTATTAAAAGCTAACATAAGTGGTATCAGAGCTTTGGTTCGGTCAAGAGCAAGCTGGGTGTAGAGATCGGATACGGGAAAACAAGCCCCGAAGAAGAACAAACCGACGTCCATAGCGAATCTCATCAACCAAAATGTATCCACTCCTATCTTTAATGGTGAAAATTTTGATTTTTGGTATGTGAAAATGAGAACTATTTTTGTCTATACGGAGCTTTGGGATCTTGTTGAGAATGGGTTCGAGGAACCTAAAGATGAAGAAGCTTTGACAAATCCGTAAAAGAACCAATTAAAAGAGCAAAGGAAGAAGGATTCAAAGGCTCTCTCTTTTATTGGAGGCATGGGATATTCTTCAGAAAGAGTATAGAGGCAACTTGAAGGTAAGAACCATCAAACTTCAGTCATTGAAAAGAGATTTTGAAAATTTAAAGATGAAGGATATGGAATTGTTGAAGGATTATTTTTCTAGGGTTATGGAACTTATAAACCAAATGAAAATTTATCGGGATAATATTACTAATCAAAGAGTTGTTGAGAAAATTTTGATAAGTTTACCGGAGAAATACAATCCCATTGCTGCTGTCATTGAAGAAACTAAAGATCTTGCTGATTTGAATATTGAAGATTTGATGGGTTCAATTAAAACATTTGAGCAAAGTTTGAGTAGGCAATCTGAAAAGTCAATTGAAAGTGCCTTTCAATCCAAGCTCAATGTTAGTACCTCTAATTCCCAAGGAAGAGGAAGAGGAGGAGGAAAAAATGCAACCGGAAGAGTAAGAAATGCAAGAGGAAGAGGAAGGTCTAATTTTCAAAGAAAGGAAAATGAAGAGTCCACTCAACAAAAGTGTGGAATTTGCAACCGAAGCAATCATGTTGATAAAGATTGTTGGTTTCGAGGAAAGCCAAAATGTTACAATTGCAACAAATTTGGGCATGTCAAGAAGGATTGCCTAGTCAAGAGCACTCAACAAGCTAATTTTTCTGAGGAGCAAGAAAGTGAAGGGCACATGTTCTATGCTTGTCACAAGGAATCGGATCAAAACAAGGATGTATGGTTTCTTGATAGCGGATGTAGCAATCACATGACAGGAGATGAAAGCATTTTTGTAAAAATGGATGCTTCCTCCAGTCCTCAAGTAAAAATGGAGAATGGTGCCTTAGTCTAAACAAAAGGAAAATGTACTATTGCTATAGAAACCAAGATGGGTACAAGATTCATTTTCGATGTTCTCTTAGTTCCAGACTTAGAGCAAAATTTGCTAAGTGTTGGACAACTTATGGAGCGTGGATATCTTGTTCACTTTGAAGACGATTTTTGCAAAATTTTTGACAAAGGGGGAAAAAGCCAAGTTGTAACAAAAATCAAGATGGAGAAGAAAAGAAGTTTTCCTCTCATTTTCCGATATAGCAAAAATACGGCTTTGAAGATGGATGTGATTGATAATTCATGGCTTGGGCATAGAAGATTTGGGCACTTGAATTTTCAAAGCCTGAAGCATCTACAACAAAAGAATATGGTTTTTAGGTTGCTAACCATTCATGAAGTGCAACATATTTGTGAAGGTTGTGCACTTGGAAAGCATCACCGGGAGTCATTTCCAAAGGAGAAAGCATGGAGAGCTAAAGCACCATTGGAGCTTGTCCATACCGATGTGTGCGGACCTATGGATACACCAACTCATGGAGGTAACAAATACTTTATTATCTTTGTTGATGATTTTACTAGAATGACTTGGGTGTATTTCACGAGACAAAAGAGTGAAGTTTT